CCTTGCCGAGCTAATGTTGCTCGCCAAGAAGGAAGTCGCGGAGCGGACCTTGCTCGCCTTCTTTGGAGTACCTTGCCGAGCTAATCTTGCTCGCCAAGAAGGAAGTCGCCAAGCGGACCTTACTCCCCGACCTTGGAGTTCCTTGCCGAGATGATGTTGCTCGCCAAGAAGGAAGTCGCAGAGTGGACCTTGGTTACCTTCTTTGGAGTTCCTCGCCGAGCTGATTTTGCCCGCCAGGGAGGCAAGTTGAGGCTTCAGCCGAGCAAGCCAAGAAACCGAGCAAGAGGAACATCGCGGTTGATGTCTTGCAAACTAAGGATCGAGGAAAAGTCTGCCCCGGTCAGATCATGTAATCCCAGTCACGCTTGCGCGGACGGAATTAAGGGGCAATTGAGAGGGAGATTTATGAGCTGAATTGGGCCGTGGTAATGGCCGGGCAAATTTTGGGCCGAACATAATTGGGCCGTGATAGCTTGGGCCTGTCCGCAAGGGTTTTGCTTGGTTAAGGCACATGGCATGTGGGACCGAGCTACTTGGCTTGTTGGTGCGGACCGGTCTACTGGGAGTTCGGCCGAGATGTCTGCTTGTCTCCATGGGTTCCACGGTTCATGCTTTAGCTCAACAGGAAGACCGACGGCTACCCGGCTCGACCTACCTCAAGCTCGGCTTGCCGGAATGCAACCGAGTTCGATTGTACAGGAGCTCGACAAATGGTTCATTAAGGTATGCCGCGCAGCGCGGTCAGGAGAAACCGAGGAGGTTCTGCCGGTCTGCCGAGCTCCGCCAAGGTATCCTAACAGTTTCGTTAGGTGGTGATTGCTGGATTTGTGTTGACAGATGGGATAGAAGCACCACGTGTCGAGAGACTGATGAGAGTAGATTTGGGGGGCAAAAGGTATATAAGCGAGTCTGCGTCCCCCATGCCTGGACAGACAAACATTTGGTGAGAGAAATACCTACACTCAACTCTCTCTTCACTCTCTCTATCCTCAAGTGTGTGCTAACTTGATCGTCGGAGGGGTTTTCCGGCCAGACACCGCCGGGTAGCTCACTGCTGTTGTGCACGCAGGTGATCGGATAGAAACGGAGCTTGGAAGAAAGGAGTGTGGGCTTGCCTGAATATTTGCTCCCCGTACAAACATGTTAGTTCTATTATTCCCACATTCATGTATAACACATTATTTTTACTATCACATTAATATCACCACATTCATATATAACATTTTAGTTTTACTATCACATTAATATCACTACATTCATATATACATATTAGTTTTACCATCGCGTTAATATTACTACATTATTACCATATATATACATCATTGTTACCATACACAGGGCGTTAGTCTGGCGGTCACAAATTAATGTCTAATCCTACTAATACAAAAAATATAAGGATTAGACTAATCATGGTCAGCTCACAAAAAGGGTCTTCTGGTCCTATGTTTAGAATGGACCGTTAGGCTACCAGGAGAATTGGCTTCGGAACACTGGCCCATGAAATAACCCCGGAAACTCACTCTGCATGATGGACTCAAACTCCCACCCACTGAGCTCCACTCCGAAGCAGCTCCATATTACCTGGACTATGTAAACAGGAGCACCGTGATCATAACCCCAAAATTCCCGTCCAGTGATCCATATCGGTGTCTCCAAGTATGATGCACCATCAGTAAAGTCCACAGCTGGGGTATAGGCAACGTGCTGAGGAGGAGGTGTCGTGGTACGAATGTGGCTACTAGGATATGCGGGTCCCCTTCTCTCTGCAAAGCCTACGGGTAGAGGTGCGACCAGGAAATGTGGCGGTTCTAGGTCCGGAGCAAGACCAACAACGTGGGTCGGTCCTATGTACCTTTCACGAGTGCTACCTTGGCTAAGTCTCCAGAATAATAAACCCTCATCAGGGTCAGCCTGCAAATAAGCGGGTCTTCCCATGAGATGGTCAAGTGTTGGATGGGCTTGCCTGATAAGACTCTCTTAGTCACCCCAGCCCTCTAATTGGTTCGGGAGGAGATGAGCTTCTGGGGGCTCGTACCAGAATAACTCCATTAGGTTCGCCATTTCCTACAACACAAGAAAACTTAGCCTAGACATATATATAACATGGTTTATTTGCGTTAGACATACCACATAATACCAAATAATGCAAGTTTAATATATATATATATATATGTTTTTTTTTTTTTTTTTATATTTCAATTTAAATAATGTGAATTGTAAATAATTATAAAAAGATTTAAAACTTATACTATATATATATATATTTATTTATTATTATTATTATTATTGTTAATATATATATATATATTTTTATATAAAAAAAGCCATTGCTCTGATATCACTTTTGTCACAACCCAAACCCGGTACCCAAAGGCTCGGTGTCGTAACAAGATAAAAACAAAATAATTCGGATAATTCTGTAGTTGCAACGCAAGCGGATAAATTAAATAAAATAATTGGGTACCAACTGTTTATTTAAAAGGAAACAAAACATAGTCATTTGAACTTCATTGTATTACAGGAGTCTGCTAATAAAAAGATAGAAATCTTAAAAAAACAAAACAACACAGCGATTCATTTTCCATCTTGATCCCGCTAAACCTCGTCACCTGAAAGGGTAACAGCTATAAGCACATAGCAGAGTGAGAAATATTATACTGTGAGTGTAAGGGTACAAAATAGCCATGGATATTTATTTAAGCTAAAACATTAAAACATTAACATAATTTGAGATGAATACACAAATTAATTAAGTGCCAGAAACTGAAATAATTAACTATAACCACGGTACATAGTGGAACAGAATAAGGGTCACTAAGTGACAATCACTATAGAGGTCAATGGATCCATGACAAACACGGGACCCCAAAGTGGTCAAATAGGGGCCAATGGTTATTTAAGTCCCCCATGGCGTGGGACTCCCGTGGTGGTACTTACACAACATAATTGCTTATAAGGTCATAAACAAATACTTTTTAAAATATAAACAAACATATCAGTGGGTTTCTTTTTAGGCAAATAGGGCTCAGAAAATAATCCACGTAACTGAACCTTTATAAAACATAACTTTTATTAATATACTAATAAAATATACCTTGTATAAAATAAATTTTGGTAAGTCAAAACATAAGTAAAATACATTTTGGAGACTCAAGGTATAATATAACTCACCTTAAATTAATTTGTTTCTTTTCACCACTCAAGATCCTCACCCGCCGTTTTCTATTCTGCTTTCTATTTCCGTTGCCTTAAACATGCCATTCTTCTCTATTTATAGGAAGTAATTCGTGGGTGACAAGTATACGGAAAGTTCTGTATATTTGACGCGTGGAAATCTTACTGATCACTCCATTCCACCCTTATCTAATTACTTAATAACTTGTTTGATTTTTTTACTTTGACCATGGACCATTCGGCTCTCTTAGGACTTAGGAAAAGTTATTACCTGCTTTGGTAATTCATGATGACTCCTAAATTTATATATGACTATAAGTTAGGTTCATGTCTAAAACCCTCACTACCCAACTATAAAACCTCACTTACCACTTATTAAAATATTTAATGTGTGGTGTTTCACAACGTACTTCCTTAACAATAAAATTCTCAATTTCCTAAATTATGCATTTATTATTATTATTATTATTATTTTTTTTATTTTTATTTTCTGAGTTCTATTTATTGTAATGTTAAATTTAAAACATTCGGGTGTCACACATTGGCCTTCTTTGGTTTGTGTTTTAACATATTATTTCAAAAATAATTTTTTGGAGAGAGTTTAGAATATTTTTTAAAAAATTGACTGTATATTTTAAAAATGGTTTTGGAGTTTTAGAGTTCGACATGATTTGATGTTTTTTTTTTAATTGAATAAATGAGTGTGAGAGAAAAAAATGATTGTGATTGAGAGATGAGAAAGAAAAATTGATATATAATAAAAGAAAAATGATTTTAATTTTTTTTTAAAAAAAAATTTCAACCAAACATGTTTTAAATCTCAATTGCTCCAATATGGTCCCTTCGTATGAGTGGTGACTTCCACAGTGGTAATCATTTGACACCATTAGTGACACTCTTGTGTGGTTCCTTTAGGATGACAAAAAAAAAAACAAAGGGGTCACTCCTAGATTTATGTTGGGAGAAAATTTAGAGAAAATATGATTGAAAATGAGAAAGGAGAGAGAAAAGTAATTGATTGATATGTAATAGAAAGAAAAATGATTTTAGATTTTTTTTTCAACCAAACATGTTTTAAATCTCAATTGCTCCAATATGGTCCCCTAGTGTGGAGTTACTACAAGAATCTGCACTTTTAGCGACCACTTTTCGTGATTAATCTAAAAGTTTGTAGTTAAAAGTTACCTTTTGGCGACCAAATATTAATTAGTCACGAATGGTCATTATTTTTGGAGACCAATATGAGTTGGTTGCAAAAGGTCATATTTTGGCGACCAACTACAAATTTGGTCGCGGAAGGTCACATTTTGGTGACTAAAAAATAAGTTGGTCGTGGAAGATAAAAAATAATTGGTTGTGGAATTGGCGACCAAAATTTTAGTCGCCAAAAACATATTTTCCCCGACCAAAAATATTTTAGTTGCCGTATATTAAGTTTTGGCTACTAAAACAATTTAGTCGCTGAATGAAAAATAAATTTTTTTTTTCTTTGGCGACCAAAAATTTGGTCGCCAAAAACTTATTTTTAGCAACCAAAAAAAAATTAGTCGCCAAATTAGTACTTTTAGCGACTAATATTTTAGTCGCCGTTGATTAAGATTTGGCGACTAAAAAAGTTTATCGGAGAAGGTACCTTTTCTGCGACTAATCTGGTCTTTTAGTCGCCAAAAGTTTGGAAGGGAAATTTGAAACGTGGAGGTGGGAATTCAAATTTTTTTGCGACAAAAAAATTTGGTCGCCTATTGTAAAACGACGTCGTTTTGTACCCAGCAAAATAGAAGAAAAAAAAAATTAAAAAAAAAAGCCCTAATGTAGTGGTTGACCACACAAAGCCTTGCTCCACCATTGTTACGACCTCTTCCTTCAGTGAGAAACAAAAGAAGAAATGGGAAAGGGGAAGCCAAAATCCATAGAAGTATGGCCCGCAGTGAAACCCTTCGTCAATGGCGGAGCCTCGCTCGCTACCTGTGTTATCCAACCCATCGACATGATCAAGGTACCCTACTTCTTCTTTTTCTTCTTCATACTCTCTCTCTCTCTCTCTCTCTCTCTCTCTCTCCATCAGTTAAATCTCACATCTTTGTCCTCTCTTTCAAGGGTTTTAGATCTTTGACTCTGTTAATGTTACATCTTCATTTTGTGCTTCTTTGTTCTACTTCTGTTCTGCTCACTTTTCGCCCAAAACTCTTTGATTTTCTGCTTTGCTTTGCCCTCAAATCTTAGATCAAACGCCTCTATCTCTAACCTTCACTATGTTGAATTTTGAGCTGAAAGATGATTTTTTATTTATTTATTATGTGTTGGTTAGTTAAGATCAAAGTGGAAAGTTACATGTTAAATATGAAGAATTTTGTTTCTGGAATCTAAATATGGTGTTTGATTTTAAGCAACTGCTTTTGATTTTTGACCAATCGAATGCACCATACGTGTTTGTAAATATGCCACACTGAGAATTTCTTTTCATGTGGACTTTGTATCCTTCGCCCATTTGATTTCATGCAATTCTATGTAGCTCTGAAGTGTTTTCTCAACTCAATCTGAATTCTTAATGGGTTTCTTAATGGGTTTGATTTTGAGCAACTGCTTTTGATTTTTTTTCTCAACTCAATTTACCAATACAAAAAAGCAAACAAACAAAGTAAAATAAACTGATTGTTACATGAACAAATACCCTGAATTTATTCTAAAGAAAATAAGTACGGAATATTCTTTATGAATTAGTTAGCAATAAAGTATATACTTCCTTCTTTCTGTAGTTCTTGTATCAAGAAGAGGAATAACCTACATAGTCATCAATAGCTACCAATAACTTCAAATGGGTTATATTATCCTCCTGGTTGATGCAAAAATGATGGAAGTTAAATCTACACAGTTCAACACAATTCTTCAAGAACCTTTTAAGACTTTGTTTATTATATTTATTTCTTACCAGTTACCACAAATGCAGGTTATCCATTCATGTTGCTCTGCATTCGATCACTTCTATAAGGAGCTCATTACAATCAACACAATCTGATTTTAGCAGAATTTGGGAGATTTGTACTTATTCCAATTATGCAAAAATTAACAATGAGTAGAGGAGAGGATATAAATCTGACTAATGGGTGATAAGAAAACATGGGGTAAATTAACAATCTTATCACCATACTTCATTTCTTTTTTCTTTCCATCACAAAAACAATCTTTCTCAACCCCCAATCCTAAAGTACATACAACGGCAATATCCCAATTACTTAATATAGAATTACATAAACTCAGGCACAGTAGAAGAGCCATCTTACCCATTTCATAAAGACATTATGAATGAGAGAAGGACATGAATAAATTGCCCAAGTTGGTTCTAATGACTCAATTTTCAGATTTCAACAAGACTAGGATATTAGTTTCATTTGCAAGCTATTCCACCATTAGTTTGCTTATTCCAGATACAATGAATGGTGTAACAGAGAAGATGGGCTTCTTATGGTAGGCCTTGTTGCTTTGAAAAGGTAGAGTCATAACAAATCAATTTTAGACATCATGACAGCAAAGTTGCAGCTTGCAGCTTCTTTGCTTGTGGTATATTGTGCCACAACGTAGCCAAAGTTAAGACCAAGTTTTGTGCACTGTAATCAAGCATGATGCACACTACAGAGCTTATAAACAAGAAGAACAGAAAATTTAGATTTTCTTATTGGGCCAATGAGATTTTACATAACCGAATTCTGGATTGAATTCCAAACTTTATTTATGTTTATTAAATTAATATGAAACTGGTTTATTTTCATTTGTTTCCAGCTTCTCTACGTTTCACAAGTTCAAAATCTTCTAAAACTATATGTGTGTGCTTTAATACTTGTTTAATCTCCATTTAGAAATAAATATTATGTTGATTTAGCAATCAGGCTCTAAAGGGGGCAGTGCACATGCCAATCATTTTCTTGGAATAAGATTAACAAGCAGCAGTTTTTCTTTATTTGAATGGTATATACACAAAACAAATGATTGCTTATACCAAGGGTGTTCCCATTTTAAATTTTTGATGGACCTTGATAGTTTTCTACCATTTCGATGAATTCTTGGAAATTATCTTCTTCTGTTGATTAATGCTTCTTTTTTTCTTCCCTATCCATGATTGATGTGTTTCTAATGCACAAATTTTTTTTTTCTTTTACTGTATGAACGTATTGTACGAATTGCCCATGGTCCTGTGTCTGTTATTGTGTATGGAGACCAAGACAAACCAGCACTGCTTGCCTATCCTGATTTAGCTCTGAATCGTAATTCTTAGATTTGTTCCTTCCTATTTCTTATGTTTAAACTTGATTCTTACACTTAGCAGTTTCTGTGTTTCATTGTTGTAATTCTTAGGGTTTTTCTCATAATTTTAGTTTCTGTTGCAGCGAACCCCTCCTCTTCAAAATCTGGTATTAGCAAGGTAGCACTGATTGGCATTGCACTTGGGACGATTGCAGGTGCAGTTACATTATCCGCAATTGTATCACTTCTTATATTGAGATTGAATACGAGAAAACGCCATACATCTTCAAGAAGACATCTATGTGAGTACCTTACGGTGACCATTATCTGAGGTGGAAGTAAAATTTATCATGATTCTCCATTGTTTAGTTCCTAATTTTAGTAGTTGACAAAACAAATTTCAATTTGTTGGCAATGGTGATCTTGTATTCTAATTATTGACAACAAATATAGTATGATATTGGGATTTATTGAAGTATATCCTCATATACTTTATACTAGGGTGAATGTTATTTTTTTCAGAAAACTGGGATCATTATTAAATTTATCATGATAGATTTTTCAAATGAAAAAGAAGCTGTTCTACAGACTATTAAATGTGTTGGAGATGATATTATCCTCCCTGAATAACTCAGAGCTGTAATTATATAACCTTGTATATGGCCATCTTTGATTGTTTTTAATTTGAAACTTGAACAGAATGGTTTTTATAAATGGGCAAACTGTATGTAAGCACTTGTGTCTCACCATATTTTGGTTGCGTTTTATGATTTCTTATACTGCATGTTCAACCCTGACCATTAGGATTTTAAAATACCCAATATAAAATATTTGATTTACCATGGGCCTTATGGGCCTGTGGTATGCAGTTCACCTTCCAAAACACCTAGTGGGGGCCACAAATCCCATGAAGGTAGTTTCTATAGTATCCATGCAAGTGGATGTCTGATTATAATTGTTCATTTTTTATTGTTATCTTTGAGGGTATTTAAAGTATTTAGTTCCCCCTCCCAGAATTACTGATTGGTTATGGATCGGTTCTTTTATTGATAGGGTTCGGTGTTTATTTATTTAGTCATTTTAACATCTTTATCCATCTGCTTCTTTAGATTTGCCGAGTTGAGGATATCCTTGTTGAAGGTTGTATAGAAGGATCCGTTGTTCATTTCCATAGGGCAAGAACTATAACTATTGATTCTCTTGGAACAATTAGTGCATCGGGAATGGGTATGTATTTTTTCTTTACTTAAAAGTTGCTGTTAAATAATGATTTATTGGCAAACTTCTGTGTTCGCTTCTCTCTGCAGATCTATGTAATTGGTGTGGTGTATTCTCTATTTTTTACATTTACTTAATTGAAGGGGGAAAAAATCTTGTTTTCAAGTGAAAGAGGAAAACAAATTGTCCTAAGAATGCATTATTTTTTTTTGCAATGTGTTAAATTATGTGGATTGCTATGTGTTAAATTATTTTTTGCAATGCTACTGGTCTATTCTGTATTGTTTCTCAGTGTCAATTTGCAATGCTAGTGAAGGCAGGCTAGTGTGTGTATGCTGTTGCTGTTGAGAGTTAATTTAGTTGGTGAAGATGTTAGGATTGATCAAATGCATGGCAAATCAGTTGAAGGGCTTGGGAACTGCAACGTGACATCTCTTCTCATATTCAATTATTAGTGTATGCCCGTGCCTAAAGGCACGGTGTAAATAATATTAAGATTAAAATGCAGTTATAAAATATATTTAACTGACTATATTCTACAATTTAAAAGAAATTAAAACTAAAATGCACACCAGTTAGTGCTACTGTTGCAAATCAAATTATAACTACATAAGAAAAACAAAAATTATATTGTCATACACCAAAAGAGTGGATTAAAACTTTATTAAAAAAAGTGGGTTAAAGCTTTCCAAAATTTGTATGCTTTACAGAAGATGTGTCAATAGCATGTCTTCAAACATGTATTTGCCCAAACTTCCTCATCATTACTCTCGAAAAAGTCTTTGTATCAACTTGTATGTATCCCCAATGAGGAACATGCACAACAATCTGGTAATTTGTGGAAACAAAGAAAATATCTATATAAGCCGGTATATTTGTTGGAATTATACATATCAAAATACTTTGAGATTGAAATTATCTTATTACATCCCCATCGAAGCAAGCTAGTTGTATTTCTCCTTTTAAACTCCATAAATTTTTCGATCCAATCCTAAAAAAAATCCATATTTCCAATTATTATTAAATTGAAATTTTATTAAAAAAGATATATAATCAATAGAAATAAATTTACATGATTACCTTTTGATAAAACGTGATTTTATGAACATGGAACACTACAACAATACTTCAGGATAAACAATATTTGTAGTAGAATCCAAACTATCTTTAGGGAGAAGAATACTTATACGATCAAAAGATGTACATTTGGACAATGCCACATTTAATAAATTTGTACGCATATGAATAAGTTGATTGGGTCGATTATATGGTTTTTTATATATTAAATTCAATATCTATCCGAAATAAGAATTAAATTCATCAATCTCAACCACAACCGAGTGGTCGAAACCTCCCCCATCGTATTCTGCTAATCGGGTCGGTTCTTCAAGTAATCCCAACACTATTTAAATTTATTTTTTAATTTGATAAAATTACAAATTTAATATAAAATTTAATCCCAACACTATTTAAATTTATTTTTTAATCCCAACACTATTTAGTCCCAACGCTATTTAAATTTATTTTTTAATTTGATAAAATTAAATTTAATCCCAATACTATTTAAATTTATTTTTTAATCCCAACACTATTTAAATTTAAATTTAATCCCAACACTATTTAAATTTAATCCCAACTCTATTTAAATTTAAATTTAATCCCAACACTATTTAATAGGAGAAAAAAAATTTAATAGGAGAAAAAAACATGAAAAAATACCAAATAGAAATATACCATACAGAGAAAACTACATAATTATTATATTCTGGAGAGGTTGTTTTCAAATTAGGTAAGAGAGAGAGAGAGAGTAGTAGAATCTCAAATAAGCTCATCATTTAATTTTTTATTTTTTAGAGAAACAAAAAAAGAGAGTAGTTTTTGGATGTAGAAATGGTAGAGACTAAGAAATTGATTACAAAAAATACAATGCACACACATAAATTCTATCATTCAACAAAATTATTTTCATTAGAAGGTTACATGTTGGAGAAAAGTTCCACAACAACAGACGCGTGTTTGAACAGATTAGAACATCTCAAATTATTCAATTTTATTTTTTTGGGTAGTGTAGTGTAACCTAACTCTCATGTTGGGAAAATTACAGTGATACTCGAAAAAATATTTGAAACCTTGAGAAAAGTATCCACAATTCTACACATAACCCAAGTACTCCATTTCGGGCCGGTACTGTGATTTATGGGTGGAAAACGCCAAACCCACCAATTTTCCACCCACAAATCAAAATGGGATTCGTGGATATTTCTGTGATATGGTGTGGCTCAAGTGTATGATAACATACGCCAAACCCACCAATTTTCCACCCATAAAACAATTTATGATTAAGGAACATTAGGCAAACTGGATATATATGATACTACTTGATAGCCTCACATATTAGATGAAATAGGATATTAAGACTCGACCTAAGTTCTTCATGGGTGAAGAAGTGATCCTTACGTAGGAAAATTACCTTCCTTAGAAAATTAATTTACTGTGTAAGTTTAAATTGACTTCTAAATGCTTGAGGGAATATGTCCTTAGCATTATAAGTTTATTTTAATTAATGCAATCACAATATAAATCAAATATAACATATAATTAATTCAAATAAATCAAGATAGTTGTGATTACAAATTCAATAAATATGGATTCAATGACATCACCCACTTTTGATGTTGAGCAAACTTTAGATCCAATTTCATAGCTCTCGTCTAATTCTCATGTTAGGAAAGTGACAATAGAAAGCTAGTAGTAAAAAAATACATAAATTAGAAAAAGGACTTAAAATTTTAATGGGTAACAACTCCCCCTGAACAAACATCTCTACAATCAGCCAAAAATCTGCCTGTGTGAATCAACCATTGCACACAAAAGATGCAGGAAAAAATGAAGTCATGATGGATACAGGTGCTGTTTAAAAATCCAGCAGTCACCTCTTCAGAATTTATTAAAATTTTGATGACTAATGTTACCTTCGAAAGCCTCAGCTGGAAGCCCAGTGATTTCTTGCAACATCTTTGCATGCCTGCCTTCATCTTCCTCTTCAACCTCATCTCCTTTCCGATCTTGCCTACTACCATTGGCGTCACCATCATCCTCAGCATCATCTGATGCTACATTCTCATCCTACACAAAAGGAACATAAGGACTGAATAATTTACACATTAACAGGAAATTCAACAAATTGACATATCCAGCTTTTTAACACAGTGAACCTAGTCTTCTGAGCAGCCCGGTTCAGCCGCGGGAGAGGGGGGGGGGACTTCTCTCTAAAAAAAATTCAGATCACAGAAGAAAAGAAAAGGTAGGGAAGCTAAACTAAACCCTTTCATCAACTTGTTCTATCGGTTTGGAAATATGATAATTATGGCTCAACCGCATCCAAATCTGCTCCATTCTTAATTCAAATCCAAATTTCATCCATTTACATATCCATCAACATCCAGAAGGTCAAGCACACCACAACATGACATGAAAATTTGAGGTTACATTTGGATTTATGGGTTTCAGATTAATACATTTGGTATCATTCATTCAAGAAGTATATCTTATTAATTCGGTGTAGTATTTTAAATTTAGATATCAAGAATGGTTTCAAGAGCTGTAGATTGATGGATTTTAAATAGTTGGTAAATATAGTTTACCTGAAATCCTTATATGAATTATTCTTATATAGGGATCTTACCAAAATACAGGGGGACTTCTCTCTAAAAAAAATTCAAATCACAGCAGAAAGAAAAGGTAGGGAAGCTAAACTAAACCCTTTAATCAACTTGTTCTATCGGTTTGGAAATATGATAATTATGGCTCAACCTCATCCAAATCTGCTCCATTCTTAATTCAAATCCAAATTTCATCCATTTACATATCCATCAACATCCAGAAGGTCAGGCACACCACAACATGACATGAAAATTTGAGGTTACATTTGGATTTATGGGTTTCAGATTAATACATTTGGCATCATTCATTCAAGAAGTATATCTTATTAATTCAGTGTAGTATTTTAAATTTAGATATCAAGAATGGATTCAAGAGCTGTAGATTGATGGATTTTAAATAGTTGGTAAATATAGTTTACCTGAAATCCTTATACGAATTATTCTTATACAGGGATCTTACCAAAATACAACTCTCCTATCTATATTCTCTATTCAATCACCTATTTTAATATTATCAATCTATACATGCAATAGATAACCTTCCTACAATTTTATGAAGTTTCTTCCTCAAACCCTTTCATTTCAAATCCACCCATCCAAATGGAGCCTATACGTAAATGTAATGGTAACTAAACAAATTAAGGATAATCTAAACGTATTCTTGTAAACAAAATTAGAAAAAATATGTCAAAGTTACACATCCCAAATATTAATTACTCGCTCACAAATAAATTAAACAACCAACTAAATTAGAAATCATATTTGCAGTTCAAGAAAAGAGAGATATCACAAATTCCTTTAGTTTATTTTCTTCAAAATTTCCAACAATTGATCATTTTCAAAATAAAATAAAATAAAATAAAAATCACATAGATCAAGAAAGCATAAAACGTAGAAAAAACAAATGACGAACAAAGAGATTAGGATGAAGTCGATGCGGGGTGATTGGAACTCTGATATTTACCTAACTTAATAATTCCAAAAATCACCATTACCAAAAATCCCATCTGGGCATACAATAGATTATGTAATTTACCTAACATCCGAATTTTTGATTTCAAAATCAAAACAACAATCAATCTTACAATCAAATAGCCCAAAATGCGAGTTCGAGGACTGGAGAGGCAGACACGGACTGAGAGAGAAGGGAGAGGCAGAAATCTTACCTTGCGAGACTGAAGAGCAAAGTCGGGAGCGAGCAAAGAGGGACGGTAGGAAAGAAGAAGAACAGAGAGGGAGAGAGAGATAAAGCCGAGTTCGAGAGGCAGAAGACTGGAGAGCAGCAGAAGAGGGAGGGTAGGAAAGAAGAAGAACAGAGAGGAAGAGACGTGGGTAGGTGGAAGGCTGAGGGAGAGAAATGTTTGGGCGGGAGCTATATAGATCTGAGCCATTGATATATACCCGGGATTCATATTGACCATTGGATCAAAAGTATCTCTAACACAAATTAGACATTTTCAAAAACTATCTTCCCTTATTATATAGATTTATTTATTTATTATTTTAGACTTCACTCTCTATCGCTTTTTCTGCTTGCTTTTTCTGTCCAACCAATCACATTCCGCCCGCATGGTCTTTGTTTTGATGACCCAATTTCCAAAGTCTTTAAAGCTTACAACAACTTGAAAGTGCTCAAAAAGTTTAACTTCTGTCAATAGATTCTAACACCTTCAGATTTTAACACCTTCAAACTACTGATTTATCTGCTAATAGATTCTAACCAAGCAAGTCCCCAGGGTTGATTTGGAGGTTTAAAAATGTATATCCGTGTCTAATTTAATTATAAGATTAAAATATAATTAAATTTAAAAGTATTGATTTAAAATGTAATTTATTAAATTTATTGACTTTGAAATTCATTTTGTAAAAGTACCCAAACATAAATATATTTGCAAAAACACAACTTTTTCTTATTAGAATCAATACTCAATACCTGCAATTCACACATTCCCAAAATAAAATAAAAGAAGAGAATGAATGAAAGATTTTCAAGGAGAAATGAAAATTCAGCAATTGAAACATCAGAAAGCCCAATCTGAAATGAAATTCAATCATTCAATATTTTTTTTGGGTAATTTTCTAATTAAATTTTCTGATTCCTTAACATTGCTGTTGAATTGAAACATTTGCAAAAACACAAAAATAAGCAATTGAAACATCAAAAGCCCAACCTGAAATGAATCTCCATCATTAAAAAAAAAAAATTTGTAATTTTCTAATTAAATTTTCCAATTACCTAATATTGTTGTTGAAACATTTATAAAAACATACACACATATAGTGGGACCTAATTTAAAATGAATCTCAACTACTCCAATATTTTTTCTGACTAATTTTTGAAGTAAAGCTTTCGATTCAATATTTTTTTCCGACTAATTTTTGAAGTAAAATTTTCGATTACCAAACATTTCTGTTGAAACATTTATAAACACATATATATGCATATACCTGACTGATCATGAGAGAAGCTTGGCTCCAATGAAATGCAATATAGGCAAGGATGCACCTATCAAACTCCTCAACCAACTTCACATACAGCTCATCAACATTTGGCTCATCAGCAAAATACTCATAGATAGTACTCTCACACTCTTTGGATTTTTTGAGGTACTCATATGCTAATTTGCAAATTTGGGGACATTCACTTCCATCTTCAAATCCTATCTGCCTAGCTGATCCATCCCCATCCCCAAAATCCAAAAAACAAAAACAATAAAACATTTTAGTTGTTGTAAAGTGGAAAAACATTATGAAAAAAAAAAGAAGAAAAGAAGAATGGAGATGAATAGATTTTTACCGACATAATTGGAGAATTTTTCAAGTTTGGCAACACAGCCAGACTTATTCCTGTCTAACAATGGAACTACGGTTTGATCTTCTAACTGTTTTTGGGGCATTTGTCGATGGTAGTAGTGAAACGCAGTGGCAGAGATGACTCCAATGGAGGTTGCAGCCAGGATGTGTGCAAGGATATGCCCATCTAAACAAACTTCTCTGAAAGGCACAATTCGGGCTGGATTCGCATCTAAACACTCATAGCCTCACTGAAATAAAAGTGCGAAAATAAATACAACTGAAAGGAGTTTTGTCAAACGGGGTTGCCAAGAATAAAAGCTAACAAATCAAAAAAAAAACAAAAAACAAAAAAATTTGTTTTAAATTTTTTATCATAGACCACCGTTAAAGCAATCCTATTCATACAGGACTCAATCAAAGATAGTCAGTTAAACACCAAAATCGATCAAAATCATTCAAACAGATTCAATAGGTAATCCATAAAGTAAAGCTCTCGCAATAATATATAACAAATGTAAGTACATCCAATTAGAGAGAGTAAAGTTCGTACGATCGGAATTAAATAAATAAATTAGAACAAAAGAAAGTTCTAAGGTTGAGAATTAGAACAAAAATAAATAAATAAATAAAAATAAAAAATACACATACAACAGAATTAAAAAAACAAAGAAAGTTCTAAGTTTGAGAATTTAACTGGAAAAAAAAAACATTACCAACATCTCAATAAATAAACATTACCAACATCTCAATAAACATTACCAAAAAGGGATATGTTAGAATCAGGTCATGGTATTTGACAATAAATAAATAACTAAATAAATAAATAAATTTAAAAAATAAAATCTAAAGTGAGAAGTTAAGTTTTCAATAACCTAATTGATGTTTTCATGATTTTCAAAATAGGAAAAATCAGCTCATGAAATAAAATTAATTCTAACATCTCTAAACAACCAAATAAGCATCAAAGAAAAACGAAAAAATTGAACAACAACACAATGAACATAATCCACAACTACCTCTTTGGTAGCAGATGAATAACATCTCAACGCGGATACTGCAGGCTGCTGTATCCTCTGCAAGGATTGTTCTAAAATCTGAAATTAAATACTATCTATTAGATGCAAAAAAATCTTCCTTTTTCAAAATCAAAACATACGATTGAAAGACCTACCGGAACAGGAAATCCTCCAGCTCCAAGTTTTTGCCTTGCAATCCTCCACATCCTCACAAATGAACTAAATACATACATACATAGTCCACATACACAAAGAAACCATAAAATTAAGCAGATAATATCTCCAAATCAGAGGCAAAACAAAATATTATACATAGTTCAAACCCGAATTGCAACAGACGGAAAATAGTCAATCAAAAAAAAAATTTGAGACTCAATCAAAGATAGTCAGTTAAACACCAAAATCGATCAAAATCATTCAAACAGATCTAGTAGGTAATCCATAAAGTTTTTCTGAATATAGCCATGAATTGAAAACACAAATAAATAAATAAATAAAAATAGAATTTATTGGGGAAAATACAGCTTTGATGGACGATAGCGATGTTTCGGATGGACATGGAACCCAAGAAATGTGTTCTAATGAAGTGCAGACTCTTCCAATTTTGCAGAAATTTGAACAAACATATTCTAAATAAAGCCAATTACAAACATATACATACACAAACAGATATTGTTTATGCTCTATTCTTACTGCTTGATCACAACCCATAAGCTTCAACTTGAGGACATAAATGCATTTACCAAGACATAAACAAATGAAAAATTACAAAAAGAAATTTCTCAGAGAAAAAACAGCTATAAGTCTCCACAGTCCTTACATATCACATCAAATGTTGCCAAAAAAAAGTAGAAGTGTACCTAAAATAGGCTATGATCTCATATTCATCTCCATAATTATTAAATCCATCTATATCTATTAACTCTTTAACTTAGAAAATATTGACATTTGTATTCCTTCGAATAATATTAAACTAAATCAAGAGATTCCCCAATTGGCCTATAATAAAATCAGCCACTTGACTCAATGCAGAAAGAGGTTTCCAAAGCCATTTCCAGTATTTTTATTCCATTCTGGATATTGACAATGACAGAAAATTCTTCCCTCAGTAAACATTGTCCTCAAGCAAGCATCATGTATGATAAAAAATTATGTCGTTAAGTAATGTAATGCAAACTAAATAAGCTCAATTGAACCTGGAGGCTGGAGATTTCATGTTCAGGATCAAACAAATAGCATTATTAAGATAAGAATCCGTTATCCAATTGCAAAACAATCCATCTTTTGTAATGAAGTGGAGTCCCACAAACATCAAACATTACAAATTTACAATGATCATTATATCATAAACATTGTATCTGAAACAACTGATCAACCATCCAATTTTCACATGATGATAAATGTGCCACAATAACCAATGTAATGCTGAAAGAAAAAAGTCACCTGATCAATCTGCCTTGTAGCGGGCGTGATCGTACTCTCGACAGCCTTAATTAAATCATTGTAATAGCTCTCAGGCACCGTAGATTTCTTCTTAGCTACCCCGGAGAGCGAAAACCAGACCTTAGGCCGTAAAACCGCCGGAATTCCCTTCCTTATGAGATTCTTGAGCATAATTGCATTTACTAAAGCTGAAAATCTAAGGGAAGCTTTAAGGGTAGAAGAAACATGAGTCTGCAAATACCAAGTTCAGGTAAATCTTGAAATTTATACTCTTAAACATTGATTTCAATGACATATTTGGTTATAAATTTCTTGTAGTTGTCTCTAATTTTTATTTTTTGTTTCAGAATTTAAAGAAGGAGCATGCAGCTTTATGCAATGAAGTGAACGACATGAATTAGATGTTCAAACATAAATAGCAGTGGAGAATCTCATTTCCAATAACCCTGTGGGAGAATAAAATGCATAGCCACTACAAATTAAATTTGCTCACCTTCAATTTGTAGAATTTGGGGGAGCTGTGTCTCTGCTAGCGACCAGAGCGTCGAACAAATTTTAAACTCTACAACAACACATTTCAATTTCAATTTTCTTTTTTTTTCCCCTTACAAAAAACCCTAAAAAAAAAATCCCAAATTCTACAACAACAACAACAGATTTAACTTTTATTTTTTTTCCCCCTTAAAAAAATCCAAAAAAAAACCTAAATTCTACAACAACAGATTTCAATTTGTAGTTATATACCTGTAGGTTGGAGTCGCTGGGTCGGGTCGGAGACAGAACTGGGCTGGTCGGAGAGATAGAGTCGAGAGAAGACAGAGCGTCGACAGAAGAGAGTCCGGCGGGACTGAGCGGCGAGAAGCGAGTCAGGCGAGAGACTCGATCGTCGGAGAGAGAGCCTCGACTCGATCGTCGGATGGAAGGAGGCCTGGTCGGTGATAGCCTCGGTCAGGTCGAAGAGAAGGGTTGTAAGGGAAGGAGGAGTAGCGTAGCGAAGAGGGAGGGTGGGTATCGAAGGGTTGGGTATCGAAGAGGGAGGGTGGGTATCGAAGGGTTCGAAGGGTCTTCAATGGCTGTGGTGATTAGAGACATTGTGACAGAGAACTTGGGAGAGAGGGAGAACGTGGGAGAGAGGGAGCTGAAGAGAACGTGTTTGGGGACGTGGGAGAGAGGGAGAGATGAACTCAAACGGGTGGGAAAATGTATATAGACCATTGATCTAAACTCAGGATTCATCTTGGCCGTTAAAACCAAATGTATCTCTGTTACATTTGGGACATTTTCAAAAACAGTCCTCCCTTATTATATAGATTGCAATAATTATTGTAATTTTGTTGGTTACATATTTTTATTTTTATTTTAAATGAAATTCAATTATTGTTTGATGATTTAGTGAAAGAAAGGAAATTTGTTAATTATTGTTAAATGTTATTGTTCCTTAATTGTGGTTGGGTTGAATGAACTTTGTTCGATATTGGATTGAATGTTTATAAATAAAAATTGATTGTTCTCATAAAATAAAATAAAAAAGATTTGGCGACTAAAAAATTGGTCGGCAAATTCAACACTTTTGCAACTAAAATCATTGGTCGGCAATTCCTTACCTTTCGGTAACTAAATTGTTAGTCGGCGATTCCTCGACTTTTGGCGACTAATCTGTTTGGTCGTGAAATCTGACAATTGGTGACTAAGATATTTGGTCGGAAAAATATCACTTTTCGCGACCAAAGTGTTTTAGCGACAAAATGAATTAGTCGCAGTAATGATATATTTAGCGACCAAAAATTTAGTCGGCAAATCCAACTTTTCCTGACCAACAAAAATTTAGTCGCGAATTTCTTTTGCCAACCCTCAATTGGCGACCAAAGTAGCGACCAAAAAAATTGGTCGCGGATAATTTTTGCAGACTAAAAATGGGCTTTTAGCGACCAATTTTTTGGTCGGCAAAGGTGTTATTTCTTGTAGTGAGTGGTGACTTCAACAGTGGGAAATATCATTTTCTTATTGGTAATCAATTGACACCATTAGTGACAGTCTTGTGTGGTTGCTATAGGATGACTAAAAAAAAAAGTCTACTCCTAGATCTATGTTGGGAGAAAAAGTGATTGAAAATGAGAAAAGAGAAAAAAAAATGATTGATTAATATGTAATAAAAAGAAAGTAATTTTAAATTTTTTTGAGGGCTACTATTAACACTTATCTTTATTCTTTGGACCCTCCATTTATTTGAATCCTAAATACCAAATTTATGCACATCCACCTCATTTGCACATCCTCTCTATCAGTGAACGACGAATGACGGTTCCTCTCCTTCAACAAACTGAAAAACGATGATCCCTCTTTCTCTTTGATTTATTTGAAACCCTAAACCCATTAACAGTGAAAACATCATTGCATCTCGTCTTAAACTAAACGACGGTGAACGATAGCTCTTCGCTTTTATACCATTCCATCTCTGTGGTTCTTTGTTCAGCACTGTGTTATTGAACCAAAACGATTCGTTCAACACTGTGTTGTCGAATGTATATGATTTGTTCAACACTGTGTTGATGAACATAAATAATTTGTTCAGCACTGTGTTGTCGAATATAAATAATTTGTTAAGCTTTTTTAGTAGATTCAAGGTTAGGGGTTTATGAAGAAAAAATAGTTTGTTTGACTCATCTAAATTATTGATTTCTTATATCAATAATGGTGAAATTAACGAATGGTGACAATGATTTGAACCAACGATTTCAACCCACAGTGACAATGATTTATGGTCTAGGGTTTAAGATGGTGATGAGAAGATGAATATCTTTTAAGGTTTAGGTTGGTGAATGGTCTTTGTCAAATGATTTGGTGGGGGTGGAAGTGGGTGTACAATGTTGTAGAGTGTGATTCTAATTGTCTTCATTTGGTAGTGGGTGTTCCATTGAAAGTTATCCTTTATTGTAATTTTACTTTAGGTTATAATTGTAATAAAAAAAATTTTAAAAAAAAGAGTTAAAATTAGGATGTCAAAGAATAAAGGTAGGTGTTAATAGTAGCTCTCTTTTTTTCAAAAAAAAAAAAAAAAAAAAAAAAGAATCAACCAAACATGTTTTAAATCTCAATTGCTCCGATATGGTCCCTTAGTATGAGTGGTGACTTCCACAGTGGGAGATTTGAAAAATAAAATAAAATAATAATAATTGGAAACAGAAAGGAAAAAAGTAAGTAAAATATATTTATATTTAATCTAATTTCACACATTTTTTCTTTTTTCCTTTCCAAATTCCTTTCTAAATCTCTCAATCAAATACCGCGTTAAATAACACTCTTGTATAATTGCTTTAGATGAGCCCCCCCCAAAAAAAAAATGTAGTCTACTCCTAGATCCGTGTTGGTGTCATACATATTGCGTCTGTGCGTAATATCAATGGTTTGTCAATTTCATTACTAATCAAAAAAAATGTCTACTTAGTAAAATATTAAACAAGCAATTGCAAAGGCTTTATTTAAAAATTCATGCAACATAAAATTTAGGAGCAAAAATAAAATCTCAAAGGGGCAAATTAATAAGTTTAGCAGGGCAATTGCCCCCCACTTAGCCTACCCACGTGTAAATTTTTATTTTTATTTGTAATGTTGAATTTCTCTCTTCTTAATGCATTTTCAATCTATGATTATGTATTGAAAGTCTCTTGTTTTAAAATTCTCACTAAATTGTGTGGTTAACAATGCATTAGAAATAAAAGAATAAAGAAATCCCTAGCTTTCATACACACATGCTACATGTATAATTTGTCTATTTGTAATATATAAATATATATATGTCTGTGTGTGTGTAGAGAGAGAGAGAGAGAGAGAGAGATGTGAAGGTATGTGTATTAACCATTGGTAGATGAGTTACAAACAGATGCTGGTAGAAGAGAGCTAACTTGAAGGGTATGATGGTGGCTTTGTAGAGTATTATCATCATGCAAAGCATAGCCTTTCTCTAAGAAGTGAAGAAATAGGGAAACAAGGCAAGCAAAGAAGAGAGAACTAATGGGGATGGAGGAAATTGAAGTGGCCATCAACCAACCTTTCTCTGTCAACTTCTCTCAATCATGTTTCTAGAAGCACTTAGTGCTATCTTAGTTTAGCTTTATAAGCAATTACATTTGTAATGGATTTTCAAATTTCCACAAGTATATCGTCCACTATGACAAAGTAATTAATACAATCATATATCATTTGACAAAAAGTTATGTGAGTCAACATTATTTTATTTTTAAAAATTCACACTATGTTATTAATTATGGATACCAATATATATATATATATATATAATATTGTGAGATTATTGAATAATGTCTCTCAACAATCAATCTTAAGAGGTTGGATTAGTGAACATAACTAGAGGCCAGGGGGTATATTCTCTTCAGGTCTCAAGTTTAATATTCACTAACCCTAATAAATTCCTTGAGGTCAATTCATATAAATAGGGTTTCTGTAAGTATGTAGTGAGATTATTTTTTGAAATTAGTCCAAATAAACATAAATTAGTCCGAATACTTGATTATTAAAAAAACTCAAAAAACAAAAATCCAAAAAGACCATGAAAGTCACCCACCAAAAAAATAAAATATAAAAAATAAATAATGAAACTAGCATATCATAGCAATAAAATCTCAATTCGTCCAATATGGTACATTAGTATGAGTGGTGACTTCCACATTGGGAAACATTATTTTTTTATTGGTAATCAATTGATACCATTAGAGTATCTTCAATAGCATTTGCTGTAATAGAATTGTCATTATTATAATTTGGCAACAAATAATAGTAAATTGTCAAATTATAGCAATAGTATTTCAATAATCACATGTCATTTTAGCAAATCTCAATCAATTTTTCCTCTAATTTTGTAGGTTTATTTGGATATAAAATTTTTAGTGAATTTTTTGTAATTTATTTTTTGTCTTTTATGACCTTTATAAAAAAATTTGTAAAATAAATTAAATATTTACATTTTAGCTGACTAAACAATTATCAAAAATTAAAAAAAGTTAATAAATTCTCATAAATTTTCGTAAATTCTAAAACAAGCAATAATCAAGGCTGAGCATCCAAGACACCGTCTAAATAATAATTTTTCATAAATTTGCATTCCAAGACACCATCCAAACCGTTGGATGATTTCATAATCCAACGGCTGAGATTGGCTCTCTGGACTATTCTTTAACTGTTTTACATCCCCAAACTCTCTTCATTTTCATCAAGGCTGAGGCTCTCTCTCTCTCCCCATCTTCATACCTGTCTTCTTCCTGAACCACCCACCATAGTCGACCTCCTTTGTCTCCATCTTCATTTTGATCATCATCACCACCAGCACCGATCGGCAAAACCAGTCGGCTATCTCTGAATGTCTCTCTCTCTCTCTCTCTCTCTCTGATTTCAATCAGTACTACCAACATTGATGGCCGATCGCCAAATTCAATGGAACACCAGTGATTGGCCTTCAATGAAGCTTAATCGGTGTGGGAACGAGCCCTACAAATAGATGAAGAATAAGCCCTAGAGGTCGATGGAGGTTGAAATGAAGAAAAAGTTTATAAATCATGCTGGAATCGAGGTATTTATCTTCTAAATTTGTTTCAGATTGCTTCAGAAATTTATATAAATTTGTGCGGCGAAATGGGCCCATTTTGGGGGTCCATTTTGATAATCTGAACTGTTTACATTTTAGAATACATCAAGTAGAATATACTTACAAAAAATCAATTTAATCGGATATCGTTTACCCATTCATTCACTCATATTTCTATCTATAAAAATAAATAATAATTGTAATTTAAATTATTAAAATGAATATAAATGTAAATGGATGAATAGGTAAACAATATCTGATTAACTTCATTTTTTGCAGGCATGTTCTACTTGATGTATTCTAAAATATGAACGGTTCAGATTATTAAAATAGGCCCCGAAATGGGCCCATTTCGCCGCACAGTAGATGCTGCTGCGCACCCCGCGCAGCAGCATCCCCAAATTCTTATATTTGATAGGAAGAATAACAGGCCATTGAAAACCCTTTTTTTCTTTTTTTTTTTCGCTCATCAAATTATAACTTTGACAACTCTTTTAACAGCTCCATTGAAAATGCTCTCAATCGCACTTTTGTGTGGTTGCTTTAGGATGACCAAAAAAATAAGGGTAAATTACAAATACGCTCTTGAGATTTGATTAAAATACAAATTGTCCCTTATAGTTCCAAAAATTACATTTCACCCCTTGAGGTTTCTAATTTTATAATAAATCGCCCATTTTGTTAATAAATTATCAAATCAATTAACGGTTTTTAATGATGTTAGAAATATATTTCAATTAACAATTTAGGTAATTTTATTATTATATAGGAGAGCAATTATGAATTTTATTTTTTTAGTTAATTCTGTTAAATAATTTTTTTTTTATCAAGGGGGTGTTTGTAATTTTTAAAACCACAAGAGACAATATATATTTTAAACAAATCTCAGAGAATGTATTTGTAATTAACCAAAAAAAAAAAAAAAAAAAAGTCTACCAGACCCATATTGGTGTCAGACATATTGCGTCTGTGCGTAATATAATTGGAGCATTATAAATTAAGGAGAGGTTTCTGGAGTTCATATACTAGATTGGAGCGTATTGTTGGGCTTGTAAGACACATTATAGGTTTTGTTTTGATAATCTAAACCGTCAATATGTAGAATTCGTTTAGTACTTTATGCCTGGAAAAAATTACATTGATCGAATATCAGTAGCCCCTTGGTCGGAACACATTTTTATCAATGATAAAAATAATTTTAAAAACAAATTGTTAACAAAAATGTATTTCGATCAACGGGCTACTAATATCCGATCAACTGGATTTTTTACAAATATTAAATACTCGACGAGTTCTACATATTGAACGGTTTGGATCATTGAAACAAGACCCCTGGTGAGCCCTATAAATCCAACAATATACGCTAATTCATTATGTGAATTGGAGAAAAGCCTCTCTCCCTATAAGTTATTGATTTTGAATGGTGAATTTCACAATTCTACATCTATCATTAAGATAAACAAAAAAAAAAAAAAGTTTGATACTATTAGTAAATGGTGGTCTATGGATTGACTTGTTCATGATGGGCCAACGTGGTTGATGGTAGAATGGATCTTCTTCCTTGGCGATTCTTGCAAAACCAACACTTGGATGCACTTGAGGATAATTTTGTTAGATCTCACGAGAAGTTTACTTATTTTTTTATTATTTTTTTTCGTTTTTAGTAATTTTTTTTTTAAAGTTAAAAATATTTTAAGTTTTTAGATTTAGTTCGACAAGATGAATAGAAAAATCGTATTTTTTTTTTAAATTCCAAAAAAGTTTAGAAAAGACAAAAATAAGTTTTATTTTATTTTATTTTATTTTATTTTAAATTTGGGCTTATTTTGACTTTTCCAAATTTTTAAAAAAAATTTCAAAAAAATTATATTTTTTAGATTCATCTCAATAAGACGAATCGGAAAAATAAAAAATTATGATATAATTTTTTAAAAAAATACTAAAAAGTCACACCATTTTGTTTATAAACTTTATTATATTTTTCATTGTATAAGTAGGTGGGCTTGACTTTTTTTTTTACACTTACTATTCTAAGAAACATGTTAGAGATAAAAATTTTAATAAATTTTTTGAAATCTCTAACAAAAAATACATACATAATGATGTGAGCACTACAAGAAAAGAGGCTTTATAACACGGAAGCATTTGCGATGGCATCACTTACCGTCGCAAAAAGTGATTTTTGTGACGGCACCACTTGCCGTCGCCAATAAATGGATTTTTAGCGACGGCACCCCTTCCTATCACAAAAAAAATAACGTTGTGAGACGGTAACAACTACCGATGCAAATAATGTGCATTTTTTGCGACGGTAACCTATGTTGTCACAAATAAAGCTTTTTTTTTAGACGACATGAACTGCAATCGCAAATAAGAGAGCTTTTTGCGACGGTAATAGATGCCGTCGCAAAAAAAAAAAAGAAAAAAAGAAAGGGGGACGGTTTTGATGTGACGACATTAGAAGTATTAGCGACAGCATTTTGCCATCGCAAAAAATTAAAATTTTTGTAGTTTAAGCAGAATTTTTGCTCAATTTTCTTTGCCTTTTCTTTTTTCATTCCAAACTCCTACTTTAATCCATGATTTAAATATAATAATTGAGATAATAACTTGTTAAGTATTTTTGTTAAAATTATTTCTTTGGTAGAGGTTGAATTACATGGGACTTGGATCTCCCTAGTGAAAATGGAGTGCCACCTCTCTTTGTTTGAAGCCACCTAAAAGGAAGCTAACCATTTAAACCGGGGCGTCATTTTGGGTCCCAAACATTAAACACTTTAATCTAGTGTTCATGGCAATGACATGAGTGCCACGGCCAAAATCAACTTCATAAAATGAGAATTATGTCCTTGCTTGTTTTTGTCCATACCCATTTGTTCATCTTCCTGTCTCTCTCTATCTTTCGCTCATCTCTCTTCTCTCTCTCTCACTCATCACTCTCTCTGTCTGTCTATGTCTTTCTCTCTCTCTCTCTCTCTCTCACACTGTGCTCGCGTTGCTCACTCTCTCCTTCTCCTCTTCTCAATTTGCCGATCTCCCTCTCGATTTATCGATCTCTTCTCTCTCTCTGTCTTCTTCAATCGCCCATCTCTCATTTCTCTTAATCACTTGTCGAAAGAGAAAAAAGTCAAAAAATGAAATGGGCCTCTCTCTCTCTCCGCTCTCTATCTCTTTTGCTCATCTTTCTTCTCTCTCTCTCTATATAAATCTCTTGTTTATCTCTTTTTGCTGTCTCTCTCTCTCTCTCTCTCGTTGTGTCTCTCTTACTCACTCATCGCTCATCTCTCTGGCTTTCTCATCTCTCTTCGCTCTCTATCTCTCTTGCTCATCTGTCTTATCTATCTATCTCTCTATATATCTCTTGTTCATCTCTTTTTGCTATCTCTCTCTCTCTCTTTGTCTATCTCTCGCTCATCTTGTTTCTCTCTCTGCATCTCTCTCACTCATCGCTCTTCTCTCTCAATCGTTCATTCTCTCAATCACACTCATCTCTTTCTCTGAGCCCATTGTTGTTAAAAGAGGAAAAAGTCAAAAAATGAAACGGGTCTCTCTCTCTCTCTCTCTCTCTCTCTCTCTCTTTCTTTCTGTGTCTCTCGCTCATCTCTATTCTCTCTTTTTCACGCATCTCTCTTCTCTATCTCTCTCTGTCTCTCTTGATCATCTCTCTTCTCTTTTTTTATTTATTTATTTATGTCCCTCTCTCTCTATATATCTCTCTCATTCATCTCTCTCTCTTTCTCTCGCTGATCATCTATTGCTTCTCTCATTTTTTGTTTCTATCTTTTCCTAGCTTTCATTGTGCAGCAAAAGGGACATGGAGGTTTTTGGCCAAAAAATGAGTTTTTTTTTTTTTGTTACGACAACCTTCCCCTGGCGCAAATACAGGTTATCGGAGACGGCAATACCCTCGTCGCAAATAAAAAAAATTACTAAATGAGCCATGAATTCATTGTTTAGGGCCTATTTGGTAATCATTTCGTTTTTAGTTTTCAGTTTATATTTGCAAAAATTTACAAAACTATCATAAAAACTTGTTTGATAATTTTTTTCGTTTATAAATGGTCGTCTCAGTTTATAAATTTGAGAAAAAATTGTAAACTCATTTCAAAAAATGAGTTTACGTTGGTTTTTAAACAGAAATATAAAAATTTGACTAACAATTTTTTTTTTAATTATTTTTTGTTCAAATATTTTTATTTTCAAATATTTTTTTTTCAATTATAATGCGTATGATCCCATTGTCATAAATAAATAAAAAATAAATATAAATATTTTAGGCCTAGACAAACATGTTTTTTAGTTTATGTTTTTAAACGTTTTGTTTAAACCAAACACGTGTATAATTTATGTTTTTCTAAAAATAAACAAAAACTAATTTATAAAAAAATTATAATCATAAACTAAAAAGGTAAACGTTATCAAACACTACCTTAAATTTTCATTTGGGACCACAAAAACCAAGGCGCCAAAATGAAAATTAATAAGCGCCAAATAAGAACATAAGCAATTTTCAACACCGAAAGAAGTTAAAATATTAGAATAGGAAAACCCTATCTCTTTCTCTCAATCGGCAATCTTTGCACTAGTTTCTAGGGTTCTAGTCTCCACACTCATACTTGCATACACAAAAATGGAGCATCAGTTTTCACAGATTAGACACAGCCGTTAATCGATCTCAACCTCGGCTTGGAATCTAAAGAGAGAAAGTATGGTGAAGGATGGATCGGAGAGAGAACGGGGGGCTATCGACAATGGATTCGATTGAATCTCGATCGGTATTTTAGGACGAGGACAAGTCAGAGATCGAGGACGAGGAGGATGATGAAGATTTGCCACCTCGAATTCCGAGCAAAGATTCATTCGGCAGGCTCTCAGATCGATTCCTTCGATGTCAAAGCACTTGAGGTCTCCGGAGCACAACAGAACGACTTTGAGGTAAATTTCTGGAGCTAATTTGGTTTAATATGGATTGTGTTAGGTATATATAATATGGATTTACAGTTTTTATATCAGAGTTGTTGTAAGATTGTGGGTTTTGATAATTGCACTATGCTATACAATATAGGTGTTCGTTTTTACTGTAGGATTGCTTGGAGAACCTAAGAAACAAATGGAAATGTATCAATTTTTAGATCTATGATGTGATGGTAACTCAAAAGAAAACCTAATTATTCAATTTTGATTCTTATCTATCCATTGTTTTAAATATTTATTTATTTTTAACCTTGATCACTTTTTAGTGATATTTAGTAATTATTTTTTGAGTTGAATGACTTCCTAAAAAGTTAATAATTGTGTATAGTGCGAATATATTCTATTCTATTAATATGATTACCAAATTATAATATTTCAGTCCTATTGTTTTAGAAGTTTTTACATTTCGATTCTTGGGGATGGTAGTCAGGTAATATTGCAATCAATTCACTCTTCATGTTTGATTATAAGTTTCAAAGGAAAAGCTAGTAGTTTGTATGTCTCTTCTGAATTTTCTCCAACCTAGAAGGTTAAGTTTCTTATATTCGATCGGAATTTTAGGTTGACATTTAAAGTTTTAAAGTTTTTATTTTTTATTTAAAGTTTTTAAGTTGACATTTTGTTAATCACTGTATTGTTGCAACTGAATTTTTATCATGGACTTTGAATTTTTTTCTACTTAAAGGTTGTAGGAATTTTCAAGATGGTGGTCCTTCCAATCCTAGGCCAACTTGCTGGTGAGTATGGGCGAAAACCACTGCTCATTCTCACTTTATCTACAACTATAGTCCCTTTTGGTATGTTTCTATGAACATTTGTACATAGACCAAAACTTTATGTTGAAGAATCCCAACTGCATTTGATGTTGGTATCTGCATTTAGCTGTGAAAATTTCCTTTGGTATAAACTAGAGTGGTGATACTTGAAAGCTAAGAATCACAGATATTTCTATAGAAGAGGTTTGTCGTGTTGTACGTGTATATTGGACGTGACACTTATGTATATTAATGTTCTGCAATTATTTTCCATTTTATAGTGCAATTGTTTCATGTTGTTACATGAATGATGATTTTTAAGTTATGGAATATATGGCATTTTAATTTTAACTAATGTCATGTTGCTTTTATTTTACTTTTGAACAAGCGTCGTAGGCGTATCATGTCCGGCATTTTTTTTTTTGGAAATCGTCGTGTCGGCATGTCGCACAAGACATCACCAACATGCTCCTTGGTTGCACAAGGCACTGAAGATTGTCAAGGAATGATACAATTCAATGAGGCATGCAACAACTATTGTTGTAAGCAGGTGCTTTTATCTGCAAACCATCAGTTATGCTTTTAGTGCCCAGTCCCAACTAAATTTTGTCGGATCTTAAGGCAGCCTCTGCAGTACTATCTGAAGGCAGCCTTTGGTTTCAAGACATGCAATTGTTATTAAAGTCCCTTTGCTACCTCTGCAGTACTATCTGAAGGCAGCCTTTGGTTTCAACAAAAATCAATTTTCAGAAATTCTGATGACGGTGGGAATAGGATCAATTGTTTCCCAGGTATTCTTTCTAAAGATCATTTTCTTTTCTTTTGTTACTTTAACGGAAGGAGCCCATTAACTCTACTATTTGAAATGTTCTTCAAATCTATAGTTTCTTTACTCACCATATGTTTCTTATCATGGCATTGTTTCAAGATTTTGATTCTTCCTCTCATCAATCCATTTGTTGGAGAGAAACTGATACTTTGCACAACCTTATTTTCATCAATAGCTTATGTGAGTTGTCCTTTATTTACTTAATTTAAGTCCTTGCAGCTCTGGACTTAATCATAGTCGAAAGTATGTATAAATTTTATCTCATGGAAGTGTTTTTTGTGTTTTTTTTTAAATGCACAGACATTGTTTTATGGCTTGGCATGGGCTTCTTGGGTATGTACTCTTATATAATAAATGTGTAGTTAACATCAGTTTTGAAACTACATTCTGGGTAATTACATGTTCCACCGTTTAACTTCCTCCTAAAATTTCACTTTAGTCTCTCGTTTTTAGTTGAGACGACCTACATCAATATTGTAATTTAGGTTCTAATTCCTTGCAAAAAATACAAGAAAATTAATTTTCTCACAAAAGTTGCTATATGTTATAACTTTCTCTCAAAAAAATTATCTTAACCAACACATACTAAAAAAATAAATTTTCATGAGGTGTTGACACCCCAAAATCACCAAACGGCGTCGGAGTAGCATGAAATTTGGCACACACGACTGCCTAGGCAGAAGAGACTTGTGGGAGAAGACGGGACTCAAATCGGATTCCCGGTTTAGGAGTTAGAGCCAAATTTCCTTCTAGGCAAATTAGTTTCTTAAAAAAACTTAAAATTTGAGGTGTTAACGATCCAAAATCACCAAATGGCGTCGGAGTAGCACGAAACTTGGCACACACGACCACCTAGGCACGAGAGACTTGTGGGAGAAGACGAGACTCGAATCGGGTTCCCGGTTTGGAAGTTAGGGTCAGATTTCACACTAGGTAAACTAGTTTCTTAAGAAACTTAGAATTCGAGGTGCTAATGCCCCAAAATCACCAAACGGCGTCAGAGTAGCACGAAACTTGGCACACACGACCGCTTAGGCAGGAGAGACTTGTGGGAGAAGACGGGACTCGAATCGGATTCCCGGTTTGGGAGTTAGAGTCGGATTTCACTCTAGATAAACTAGTTTCTTAAGAAACTTAGAATTCGAGATGTTAACGTCCCAAAATCACCAAACGGCGTCGAAGTAGCACGAAACTTGACACACACGACCGCTTAGGCACGAGAGACTTGTGGGAGAAGACGAGACTCGAATCGGGTTCCCGGTCTGAGAGTTAGAGCCGGATTTCGTTCTAGGCAAAATTATTTACTTAATTATCATTATAATTGTATAGTAATTAAATTTTTATGTTTTTTTGTAATTAACATATTAACACATGATTATATTGTCACTAAATATATTTATTTTTTGTTTTTAGATATTTCCCGAGTAGGAGTTTGCTTCTTGTGGAATGCGTTTGTTTTTGTTACCCATGGAGAATGATGAGCAAAACTTGTAATTTTAGTTTATGTTATTTTGAATTATGAACAACATTATGTATTTAAACATTATATATGTATTATGGAATATTATGTAATGGGGTAATTTTGTTGATGTGTAGTTATGAATGTAAGAATATTTTTATTATGGAGAAATTATTTTTTCTATACAAGAATTTTTATATTATTATGTAGTTATTAGTTTTTTTTTTCAATTGTTTTTCATTTAATACAGGTAATTTTAGTATTTTTAATAATTTTATTGTAGTTTTTTTTTTTCGCGACGGCATCACACCGTCGCAAAAACAAGTTTTTGGGACGGCACCACACTATTGCAAAAAATATTAGAATCATTGGCGACGGTGGGCATGCCGTTGCAAAAAAACAAAACCATTCGCGATGGTATGTTTTGTCATCTCAAATAAAACTTTTAGCGACGGTAAAAAGGTGCCGTCTCAAAAGGTCTGACTTTTTACATATTATATGTGACAGTAAGTTGCCATCGCAAAAGGTAACAATTGTCGTTGCAAAAAAAAGGCCACAGCATGATGCCATCGCTAAAAGGTTTTTGCAACGCATTTTGTTGTGACCCCCTTTTTGCGTCGCTAAAAGTCATTTGCCGTCGCTATAACTTTTTTGAGACGACATTAAGAGTATTAGCGATGGCACTGTGCCGTCGCAAAAAACCAATTTTTTTGTAGTGTGACTTATTTCGACATTTCACTTCAAAATAAAATATCATTGAAAATAAATTTATTTACAATAATAATATTGTTATATAATTCTGATCATTTTTTTTTTTTTGTATAACTTTTATATATGTTTAGAATTTTTTAAATATGAGGGCTAAAATATGTCTTAGACCAGCTATGAGAATTGGGCTTTGGCGCATAATTGGCTCGTTTCAATTGTTACGAATAGTGGTTCCAAATAACCGATATTTTTTGGTTTGGCTCGGCTCATATGGGGTGATGGTTTGACCTTGGTTGAATTTTTAAAAATTTATATGGATTAATTCGGTTTTATGTTGAGTACAGAACCAAATCAAACCGACTTAAATGGGCCAATTTCCCTCTGTGCCGTTTTGAACACTTTAGTCTCATTTTAGGGTGTATTTTTATCTTTATTCCCAAAGTAGGGTAAAACGTTTTTTGTAATGCCGTTTTCCAGAAAATGGTTTTTGAAAAACCGTATTCATCTTTATTCCCACTTTAGTCTCATTTTAGGGTGAATTTTTAAAAATTTATATGGATTAATTCGGTTTTATGTTGAGTACAGAACCAAATCAAACAGACTTAAATGGGCCAATTTCCCTCTGTGCTATTTTGAACACTTTAGTCTCATTTTAGGGTGTATTTTTATCTTTATTCCCAAAGTAGGGTAAAACGGTTTTTGTAATGCCGTTTTTCAGAAAATGGTTTTTGAAAAACCGTATTCATCGATTAAAATAATAATAAAATTTGAAAATAGAAACTGGCTTTTCTAAAGTCGTTTTTAATTAAGTTTTTAATTATTTTGAATTAATTAAAAACGGTTTTTGTAAAACCGTTTTCCCATTAATTTTTTTTTAATTTATATTTTCAACATAAATATTTTTTGTTCAAATTTTTTTTTAATGAAAATCGGTTTTAGAACAGCCGTTTTTCAACATTAATTTTTTTTTAATTTATATTTTCAATGTAACGCCCTCAAAATAATAACAATAAACCCATCACCTGTAACCAACCCGCTCAACACATCCTATAACTCAAATACAACGTAAGAAAGGATGTAAACAAGATAATAAACAACTACCAACATCCACGGACACATGTCCGGATCACTATATAACAAGGGTAAACCCGGGATCGCTATATTCAACATAAATATTTTTTGTTCAATTTTTTTTTATAATGAAAAACGGTTTTAGAAAAGCCGTTTTTCAACATTAATTTTTTTTTAATTTATATTTTCAACATAAATATTTTTTGTTCAAATTTTTTTTTAATGAAAACCGGTTTTAGAAAAGTCGCTTTTCAACATTAATTTTTTTTTAAATAAATATTTTCAACATAAATATTTTTTGTTCAAAATTTTTTTTTAATAAAAACCGGTTTTAGAAAAGTCGTTTTTACATTAATTTTTTTAAAATAAATATGTTATGACCAAAAATATATTTTAATAAAAAACGGTTTTAGAAAAATCGTTTTAGAAAAACCGGTTTTACATTAATTTTTAATTTTTTAAAATTTATATTTTCAACTTAAATATGAAAACTACCAAAAAATATTTTTAATAAAAAGTGGTTTTAAAATATAAAGTTTTTACATTAATTTTTTAAATTTATATTTTCAACATAAATATTTTTTGATGACAAATATTTTTAATAAAAAATGGTTTTGGAATTTTTTTTTTTAATTATGTTTTCTCATGTGGGAAGGTTGAACTTGGGAATGAAAAGATGAGTAAGAGAGCAGCAATTTCAATGCATTCAAAGATGAGTTTCTTTAGAAAATTACAGCACAAATAAAAATAAAAATTAAAACGTAATGCTTGTTTTGAGTTTTCTAAAACATTTTTTAAAAAATTCTACTTTCTTATTTTTCATATTTTTTTTGTTTTTGTTGAATTTTTTAATATTTTAAGTTTTTAAACATACCTAGCATAAATACACTAAATGCCAAAAATACAAACAAACAGAAAAAACAAATTTTTGCAGTTGAAATTTTTTGAAAAAAAAAAATCCAAAATCACTTTTAAAAAATTTTCAAAATTTCAAAGTGTTTACAAAACCCACCCTGGAGTGGGAATAAATATTTTATGTTTTAAATATTTTTTTATTTTTTTAATGTGCACTATATTTCGGGGCTTTTCATATATTAAGCCAATTTATCATCTTAATTCGCAAACTAGGCCTAGTTTGGACGGAATTTCCAAACTAGGTTAAAGCGCTATTACAGAACACGCTTTCACTGTTTGGGGCCGAAAATTTGATGAACATTGAAAGCTTAATACAAATAAAAGTGTATTTCTCCACAAATAAATTTTGTCAACATTTTTGTAATAAAACTTAATACATAATATAAGAAGTCACTAATTTACTAAATACTCATACATGCGTGAAAACAACATAACTGAAGTTGCAAATCTAACAGTTTTCAGTTACATAGGTAGTACAGACATAAGTCTCCCACAAAAATACATTCTGGACACCATGAACTGAACACACAATACATACATCCTAGACACGATGAACTGAACACACAATACATAAACATAACAGTTAGACAGACAAATAAGGATCCTCCATGATACCCTTGATAGCCGCATCATTTGGTTCTGTTTTGTTCTTCTGGGCATCCTTCTTAACTATGTATAGCTGCATATCGCGGGCTAACCTACGGTTCATTTGAGAAATCTCACGTTGTAGTCTTTCACATAGTCGATCAACATTATCAGGATCTTCCTTTTGGATCTCAACAGAACGTGCTTTTGGCACCTTCAGTCGATTTTCCCGACATAATCTTTCCATTTGCACTCGCTCTATAAATAGTGCGGGCCACTTCAAAAGTCTAGCGTTTGCTAAACCATATCTTGTTTGATTATCTGATGGATCCTCCACAAAACCACATGGATCTCGATAGTACTTGGGCATAACAAAATGTCGCTTCCCAAACCTATCATGATAAACACAAGAGGCATTTAACAAAGCAAATGGTGTTTCATCTTCAGCATCGTCACTTCCCCTTCCCCCTCCTCGTCGTGAACTGTCACCCCTTTGCAAGCTCCTACCACCTCTGCGACTCCCACT